GACATAATCCCACACAATAGTTGAAAAGTTAAAGGATTGTGAACTCTTCTTCAAGCCACTTATATATTGTTCCGTGGTATGATTTTAAAAAGGTTTAGGGGGTATAAACATTTTTGCAAAGCTCTGAATAAGTCCAAGAAACTAACCAGAAACATTCTCGGTCAGCTCTTTCACACTAAAGTTATGCTTTTATGTCTTAATTTTCCCTCTTTTCCTCTTTATTCAACTGCTTCCCATCAAGAGCACGTTGTTCCAGACATGTTCTGCATATTGTCTAAAGAGGTTTGCAAGCTGAAATCCTCTCACGAGGGAATCGTTGAGTTAGGCGTGCAGAAGGCCCTTTGCACAAAACGAGAAGAGGCTGGGTGGGGTAGTTGGACTCGAGCACTGAGTTGTCTGTGTTTATTTTGGAAATGCAAGCCCAGCAGACCTGAAGCCGAGGAACGGATCCCCGATCTTTGCTGGTGTAATGGGAGCATTCATTTTCAATGTTCGATACAGGTGATTTAAAGCGAAAGAGAGGTTTCCTATAGGAAGCCAACCATGGGGACCCAGGAGCTGTCTGCTCTGAGAGGAAACAGTGAGGCGGTGAGGTGATTAGTGGTTACAGTTTAACTGGAGAAAAATGCACGGTGTGTGAGCCACGCCAGCCAGGCGACAAGGAGGTATGCGCTGGTGTCTTTCAGCTTCCAAGAGAGCGTGAGTCAAGCTCTGCGCTGCATCCGTTCTGTCTATTTTTACTGCGTGGGTCCATGGAGGCGACCATCGCCCCACGAGCACATCCCGTAACCCACCGACGATGACTCCGTCACTCCAGTGGTACGTGGCAATAAGAGCACTTATGGAAAAATAAGTGACATTAAGAGCCTTGTAGGGTCCTATCTACTTTTTTTTTTTTTTGTTTAACCTTTGATTCAGTCTGAATCAGCTCCGTTTCAGGTGAATTTTAGTTGAGTCACACTGACGCTCTCAAACTTGAGGTTTCCATTTGCAACGGCAAGCATGAATTGGCAACAACAGAATCAGTTCAGGTACCAGGGACATCTCAATCAAAGTCAAGAATGCGCCCTTCACAGCAGGCATAAGCACGGTGACTCCATACAATACTCACTGAGCTTTAAACCTCTTTCACATCATCCGTAAATGCAAACTCAAGTCAAACAGTTTGGAGTGAATTGTGACGTGGATACAAGAGCCAGGACTTAACCAAACCGTAGCTGTTTTTGGTGTGCAATCACAAGATCTCCAGCTCTGTCGTGGGGAATCTAAAATAACACACTGCATCCCCCGTGAAGCCTGATGCAAGTGTGTATCAGGTGCCTCGTTTTCACAGCATGCCGCCTCATTCACTGACCACCATAATCCTCTCTCCCCTGCTGCTCGGTTGCCTTTCAGCTTGACCGTAATCCGCAGCAGCTATGGCGCCCCGCTGCAGTACGAATTCAAGCACTCAAAGTAGCTTCCCAAGTTTGAACAACTTGGCATCTCATTCATCGATTGCGATGTTCGCGGCTGCTCTGATTGACTGGTAAACACGCTGCTGTGGACTCACACGCGCTCTGTGCGAAAAGCTTGCAGACTCTAGATCAAAGTATAAATCTTGAGGAAGCAACAACAAGTATTTGAGTTTGACTCAGGACCGGGTTGTACGTTAAGCTTCGAAAGGCGAAAAGAAGAAATCGGAGCAACAGGCAAAGCAAATAGACAAATTGAAAACAGGATTAAGTCCCAAACAAGCTGTTTATCATCTAAGCTAAAGACTTTTGCCTTAAAAACTCTAGAGCTGCCCATAAATCTGCCTTTCTTGTTGTTTTCTGTAGGGCAACAACGTTTTTATGACTTCTCATGGCAAAGGCAAAAAGGCTTTTTGCTTTTGAAAGTGACACGGTTGTTGAGATGAACTGGCAGAGCCCGTTCACAACATTCCTTAACGTCTTCTTAAAAGATCCTGGAGGTTATGATTGAGAAACAGTGACGTGGTAAAGCAGAAGAATTTCACTTGTGCTGAACCAGAGGATGTAATGTGCTGTTCTTGAAGACAGAGGCAGATCCTCAACTCACGGTACGGTCCTTACTGATGCTGCCCTGCAGCCCAATAACCACAAGACTCTATCTATCTGCTTTGAAAACACTTCTCTCCCGTGCCACAGACATGCCCCGGTTTTAAATTTGCAAGGAAACACCAAAGAAGAAAACAAGAAAGAAGAGAGAGAGAGCGAGCTGGCGGGGGAAATTTCCTGATGGCTTCCAACATTATTGATGCGACACTGAAGACGATTTTATGGGCCACGATAAAGATGCAGCTTCCGTCAATAAAACAGTGGAGCTTTAGGTTGTGCAGGAGGAATCAAGTCATGGCTGCCTGTGTGCAGATGTTGTGGAGAAGCATTCTTCTTGACTGACTCCTCCGTCTGTGAGGTGAGGAGTGGATCGTTCAGCAGGACTACGCTGCAGTTAAACCACAATAACATCTCTCCTGCTGCCTGGAAACACTTGTCCACAAGAAGCCACTAACTGGGTCCGTTTTGTTGACACTTTTTGTTCTGTTTCAGTTGAAATGTTTCCCAGTCATTTTTTTTTTGTCTCTTCCTCCGTTTCTGAAGCTTTACTCAACCTGGCTGTGGTCCAGCAGTGTGAAACTTGAATAACTTTCCCCCGGTCTTAAAGTTTTGATCAGGAGTGTATTGGGTATTTCCCATCTTCTCTTTACTGATCATCTTTTGCTCTCTAATGCAGGAAATTACCCAGAGAGTCCACTTTTTTCCACCCCAAAAAAAAACAACCCAGCAGCTGTTCAGCCCCTTTACAGTTTTGGACCCCAAGTGAATGATGTCATACAGTGGTATCATGGGGCGCAATCTATAGGCGGACGGAAAATTAAAGAAGAGGGTTGATAGCGACACCCGTGGCTTTAATTTTCAGGGATGGATGAAAGCGATTATCCACTAGTACATGAAGTGGAGTGATTAAATTCTCTTCCAGACCATCTGCATGAAGATAACTCTCTGTTCAACATGAACGGACCTGCAGCAGAACCTATATTCACCGAGCAGGGTATATACAGAAAGGACTGGACAGAGACCTGGTCAACATATGGTCGAGTCTCTACTTAGCGCCAGAAAATATTAATCAGTTAAAGCTGTCAGCTAAAATGCACACATGCATCCTTGATTGTAGACGGAGATGCACATCTGGAACTCCGTGGACATCTGGATTAGCAGTGGAGTTTAGAGTGAGTAGCGTCCACTCCGTAACCGGTGGTTGTAGACGTTTCTCTGTCTGACCCCAGACTTTCTCTTGGATGAATGTTAAGGCTGACCTGCAGCTGAACTGCTCATCATCTGATTGGATAAACAATGGCCAGAGGAGGCTATGGATGTGTGACTTGCCTCTGTTATGAGCTCAGGGAAGGTTTCAGGACGAAGAAAAAAAAAAAAAGACTTGCAATAAGGAGGGTGGAATCTCTTTCACAGCTCCTGTTTTATAGGATTGACCCAGTACACCAATACCTCTTGAGCCTACACGTCTCTGCATGAAAAATACCCAACACACACCTTGGAAATATTATAACCATTCTTCATCTGATCCCCTCCAATGTGCCTCTGACGTGCATTGTGACCTTTTTAATGATCAGACCTGATTCCCCTTCAGCCCTTGCCTTGTTAGGTCTGCCTTGGCAGCGCTCGGTTCTCTCCCCTGGCAGCTCCAGGAACAATAGACCCATGAGGGGCAGCCAATGGGAAGAAGGTCCGTCGTAAACTAAGTCCCTGTGTGCTGCACAATTAGGCGTAGGGACAGAGCAATTGCTTAATTGGATGAAAATAGCTCTTTATTTATGCTTCTCTTTCTGAGCCCATCCTTGCCCCCTGTACTGCCTCATCTAGCTTGGAGCTGAGCAGAACAGCTACGATAAAGAGACCCTCATTTGGGCCCAGTCATACAATTATAAGGATTGGGTCAGTAGAGAACCTCGTGGTATGATAACCTTTAGTAAATTAGGCCGAAAGGGTCAAGAAAAAATTTATAACATGATGTATCGGCAAAGAGTGTTTTACTTTTTGGTATTTTGCTCTTTGTAGCCTAGCAAAAAAAAAGTGTGTTTGATTTGCTTTGTGAGTCAAAGCTTTAATCTGGGAAGGACATCACGGAGTTGAACTCCTCCTTTAAAGTGGGAAGACAAATGAGGTTTATTAACTGTAGCTAATAATATAATTTATGGGGGGGGGGGAACATAAATAAATAAAGTATATATTCTATATTTTAGCAAGTAACATTCTTAAATGTGATTCCCCCAATCTATTTCCAAATGCAGCCAAGATTTCAGCTGGTAGTGGCGGCATCATGCTGTGGGGGATGTTTTTTGCAGTCTGGGTTAAAGAAGTTGGCCAGAGTTCATAAGAGGTTGACTGAAGCTAAATACAGGACAATCCCGTCAGAAAACCCATTACAGGCTCCAAATGACTTGAAACAAAGTTTGAGAAGAAATATGGAAAATGGCTCCAGCAAAGCTGCATGTCAGACAACATCCCTGGAGCGTAACACTTTGTTTACCAATATATATCACAGCTAGGAATCTGCAGACATTGAGCTCTTTATCAGATGTTGTGACAAACATCAAAGAGCTCAGCAGAAACCTGTATATTGCCCAACATCTGGCCAGGCTGCAAGTGATGAGCTCCACCATGGGCTATGTAGGGCGGGATTTGTGACACCGCTCTTAAAACGTCTCCCATGGGTCCCGGTGGAAGGCAAAGATGTTTACATCTGGAAAAAGGTTGGTCTAATGTTGAAAAGGGCAATGACACACACGCACACACACGCACACATATCTCTGGCTGAGACGCAACCACCGGCCTTGGAAGTGACAGCACTCCCGGCGGAAGGACTTCGGTGCTGGAAAATAGGTCACTGCCCTGTTTAAATCAGTGCTTTTTCTCAGCCTGGACAGTGAACGCAACATGCACAAGTGACATGCAGGAAAGGGTCGATCCTGGCTTTACCTTTACAGCGAAAATGCCGTGGATATGGCCGAGATGTCTCCGGTCCAATCCACGTCTTTCCTCCGGAGCAAGAACTTCCCGAAGTCCTTACAGGATCAAACTCCTCGTCAGTTCTGTCGCTTTTTTTTTCTTTCTTTCTTCTCGGTGGGATCGAAATATCCAGCTGACAGGTTTTTAGAGATTATTACTAAGTGTTTAATGTGGCGGTCTGTTCTATGACCATTGTCGGAGTTGTTTTCAAGCTTGAGAGAGAGAAAAAAAAAATCACATAGGAGTTCACCCCGGCGTATGTGACAGCCGGTTGTTTAAATTCCAGCCAAGCTATGGAATGACAGGGTGATGTTTTGCATGTTATATTACAGCTGGAAACCCATCCGAAAAGTGTAAACACCCGAATCCATAGCCTGGAAATGAAGAGCACTGGTTGTGCTGTGCATCAAAAAGCGCAGAGAGGATTTCTTCCCAAATTCAAAGCGCATCGCTTAATGGCAACGCTGGTCTACTGTCTAATGGGGGGTTTCCTATGGGGTGGTCGGACCAGAGGGATGGCACGAAGTGGTCGAGAGGAAAAAGACGGGGCGGGTTGGCGACGGGGTGTGGGGCTGGATGTGGGAGGATCGTCTCCCTTCTCTCGTCGGTGCTTTTCCAGATGCCAGCGTTAGCTCCGGTTGGTTTTCTTTTTTAGCGCTCCGCGTCTCCTCTGCGTGTTTTCCTTCGGAGACGCTGCGTGTTGATGGTAGTTCTCCCCCACCGCCGTCTGACGCACACAGACATCCGCCCGGAGCCCAGCAGCCAGCCAGCCCGTCAGGACCAGCCCAGAGCCTGCCACCTCAGCGCATGCTTACTGCTCCGCCCATCCATCATGGGCAGTCCCCGGCTTTCCTCCAAGTCCCCCCCCCACTCCTCTCCCAAAACGTCTGTCTGTCCGCACGGTCAGCCTTAGATCGCCAAAGAGCAAACACCGCATTTTTTCAATGTTAGTCGGTGTGTACACACTGAGCCTGCTCACCTCCTCATCTCCTCTCACCAGCAACCTGTGTAAAGCAAGCAAATCTGCATTACATAAGACAAAAATAAAAAAAAAGTTCAGAGAAGTAACAGTTACCACAGTGTTTGGAAAAAAAAAGAGCTCTACATTAAGTAAAAACAAAAGAAATGGATATTAAAACTGTACACTTATGTAATTTGAAAAGCATCAGTTCTTATAAGCCAGACTTGAAAGGCTAAAGTTAAATCAGATTGGATGAAAAGAGTCTGGAAACATCAGTTTTTACATCCTCCAGTATTTTCCAATTGAATTTAAATCTGGATTATGACTGGGTCATTCTAACGCAATATGAATATGATTTGCTCCAACACCAAGGTTCTCTAAGGATCATCTGTTATGTAGCTTCAATCTTTCATCTGTCTTTTTTTTTTTTAATTAAACAACAACGGAACAAGAAAATGGAAAAAAAAAACATCTAAAATGTGACATAAGAGCATATCATGACAAAGTCTTAAAAATGTTTCTTTTAACTAAATGAACTAATAATCACAACAGAGAAAGAAACAAATAAAAAAAACATATTACCTCAAAGAGAGCTTATGTTTGACTTGTAAAAAACTGTCATAAACAGTCACCATATCCATTTTACTTTCTATTCTCATAGTGAAACAGCTCTTCTACGGATGCATTACAGACATAACATCCCTGATCCAGTGGAAATGAGAAGGAGGGGCCGATCGCCAATTAATTAAGATTGCTCAATGGACCAGTACAGTGGATGAAAGTTAACAAGTCCAACTTTCAAGTGGGACAATTTGAGTCTCTGACAGTTCTCAGAGGATTTGCTTCTATTTCCTGAAACTCTTTGAAAAACAGTAAGCCCAGATAATGAGGAACAGAACCAGTAGATACGAAGCAGCTGAAGAGTCATTCTTAACATTTGTCTCCTACTTTGGCTTCAGAAATCTGTACCTGGCTAAACACCTTTAACTAAACTAAGCTACTGCTTAAATTAAGGCAAACCCGACCACTGTGGCTCTGACTGTATATTTAAGGTTGCTGTCCTGCTGGCAGGTGAACCTGTTACCCAATACTAAGTCTTGCAATCTGTAGCAGGTTTTCTTGCAGCATTTAGCTCTATGATTCTTTCCAACAAGTCTGTCCAGCTTGCCAGTGCCGGCTGAAGGAAAAGATCCCCACGGCACCATGGTGCCACGTGGTTCACTGTGTTCGTGGTGTGGTCAGTGTTCTGCCACACAGAGATCTTTGCATGTATAAGTCACAGCATTCAGTTGTGGTTTCATCTGTCCAGAACAACCAATTCCACATGTTTGCTCCATCCTCAACATGTGGTAAACTTTAAACGGGATTTCTTATAGGTTTCTTTCAACAATTGAATTCTTCTTGCCACTCATCCATGAATGCAGAATTGGAGGAAAGCATGAATAATAGTTGGCAACATATTATTCCAACTGGAGCTGTGGAGCTTCTCCAACGGACCTCTATGTTGTGTCTTTGATTATTTCAGTCCCGCCTGGCCTGTCAGTTTAGGTGGACAGATATATCTTGCTAGGTTTTGCAGTGGTGCCATACCCTCCCTATTTTTTACTATTGGTTATACAGCTCAACCCTGCTTTGTTATTGATCTGTCTGATGTGTTCCTTGGTCTTCATGAGGCTGTTTGTTCAAAATGCTCTTTAACAAACATCTGATGCCTTCGAAGAATCCAATGCGAAGATTTTTTTTTTTCAGTTTTGCAATTAATTCCAAAATATTTAAGTTTGCAACTTAGACCTAAACTGTGATCGCAGTCATAGATAAAAATATTTTTCCTTGCAAATTTGATGGCTTGTGGACCAGCTGTCTTCTTTTGTTTGTTGCTTTCTGACAACATATTATACTATTAAATCTTCCTGCACCTGTCAATGACTTAATCCTATAGAAATGTAAACATCTTTAAATTATTTCATAAAATTATTAGGGTATTGCACAAGTCATTTATCACTGGTTATTTGATTAAAGAGCTACTTCATTTAATTTCCAATTAATCTTGTTGATTTATTACACTGACAACATCAAAAGGGCACAGTTGTATGACTTGGAGATGGAAGTGCTTTGTTTTTTTCAATTTTGCTCGCTGTGATTTCTTTTTCATGGAGACGTCCACATAAGAGGACGCCTTGAATGTGTCCATAACACCTATAACACCTTCTTTCCACTCCAGTTAACAGGAGACACACATAAAACTGTAAGCATGATATTTTCTCAGTATGATACTGTCAGTCCACAGCTGATGGACCTTGTATTTGAAATCAACATCTTAACGCTGCCTGTTTTTGGCCTCCAGCAAGTTCTCACTAGCTACCACTAGAGGGCGTCGAGAAACCTCAGATAACAGTTAATGGCTAGCTGTTGAAGTTAATTTTAGTGTTTCTTTTTAAAGTTTTCATCGAAATAACTTTATGCATGACAAAATATAACTTCTGTCTTTTCAAAAAATCTTTTCTAAAGTAGACATTTTACAAACTACATACTGATAGAAGGTTTATAAATGTGCTACTTATGTAACTGTCAAGATCCCCATGCAGGAACCTTCAGGCCTCACACTTCCATCCTCTTAATAAAGAAAGATAGTTTATTTTGTTGATAAGTAAAACATGTTTAGAAATTCCTGTTGTGATCTTGAGTTTGACACTCCTGCTAAATAAATTAGATTTCAGCATTTGGCAGCTACACCTTTTGCGCAACATGTTTTTTTTAATAACAGCTGAAATGTTCCAGTCTACAAAATGTTATTTTCTGCAACAAAAAATGGAATAGGGGTCTTTTGTCTCAAAATGTTATCTGTGGCTAAATGGATTTAATGAATGAGTACATGCAAGTCTGCTTTTGATTAAAGTATCTGGTTGCCATTTTATTTATATCAAATTTACTTTTAGAAGATTTACATTTTTCAATAAAAAATCTCATTCTAAAAAGAAAATTTAAGAAAAGAGTCAAACTGTGCTGGCCTGCCTTCAGCATTCTTGTGGTCCAGACAGCCCTTTGAGTGCAGAGGCCACATCTTCACTTGACATTATAACTAGTAATAAGTTATCGATTTCTATTTCTGTAGAATTTTAGTTTTCATAGGTTGGATTACAGTAAGTAGCCTCGATAAATTTCAAGCAAGTTATGCTAATCCAAAGAATTTCGAAATTTATTTTTGATTTCTTCAAGCTTTAAAACTTGCTGTGCTTTTATCTCAGTTTTCTGCACTCACTTTTTGTTGTATTAGACGAATGATCTATTCGGTGCGGTGCTCTTATGCAAATCCTTGCAGCACTTAACTAGCTTGCGCGTCCTTGCATCTGATGAACCTGTTTAAGTCGGGTTGGTATTTACCCTCCCATCTACGCGGTTATCACCGTGCAGCCGGTGCGGTGTGTCAGACAGCAGCAGCAGCAGTGTGTCCCTGAACGCCCTCCCTTCTGCTGGGTGCGCTGTTGCTGTGCAGCTCTGCCAGCTGGTCAGCTGATCGCTGTTGTTCTCTTATCGCAGCTGGTGGAGTGTCCGCCCCTGAAGAGGCTTCTCCCGCTCTTTATTTACCTAATCGCCAGGGCGCAGGTGGTATGGAGCACCATGAGTGCCACCATTCAACGATGGGCAAATATTATTTTTTTAATTGATTTAAAAGAAAAACAACCCGAAAATATTGATTATTTGTTTGTCAAAACATAACAAAAAGCTATTATTACTATTTCACTACTAATGTTGCACTTCAGCATGGACAGTAAAAAAAAAGAGTTAAAATTACTATATATTTTTTTCATAGTTATGTGCAACCCAACAAATTAGAATGTCATGAAAATGTAATTTTGTTTCAATAATTCAATTAAAAATGTCAAACTTCATGTCCTCGATTTACTACACTGGTCATTCTTAAGTGTTAATTTAGATGATTAGAAATTAAACACAAATTACTCAGTTTCTCACAAAATTAGAATATGACATTACCAAAAAGATTTTTAGAACATAAGTGTTAGCCTATGGAAAAGTAGGTCGATGTATTGTACAGTAGATGCACTTAGTGCTTGTTTGAGGCTCCTTTTGTACAAATTATTGCATTAATACAGAGACAAATCCTGCCTAAACATTTTGATTAAAACTTTCCAGTTATAGGGAGATATAAAGCTCACTAAAATTGGATACATTCTCATTTTTAAAAAGATACAAATAAGGTTATAACAAGTTTTATATGTCATTAAAACCACATCATTTAAACAAAAAGGTTGTAAATCATCACGAGTTTTATATCTCCTTAGAGTGTTTCTTGTTTTAATGAGTTTTGTGTCTTGCTGTAATGAAAAACTATCATTTTAACCGGATGCAAATCTGGTTATTATGAGTTTTACTACAACCAAAATAGGTTCTGGCTTAAACAAAAAATGTCATCATAGTAACTTAGTGCAATAAGTTGCGAGAAAGTTTCTTGTTTTAACGGGTTTTATATCTTTTTTATATCTTGTTATAATATGAAAATTTCTTGTTTTAATGAGATCCTGGCCCTATTTAAGTCCTATATGTGGCAGTTAAATGCTTCCATATGCCCTGGGGCTGCTGTTTATCAGACATTTTAGCTTTTCTTTTCAGTTAAAATGTTTACATGTCACATTGTTAGGATTGGTTTAAAACGTTTACGATTTCACAAACATCTTACGTCCAAATCAGAAAGCAATTCTTTTCTTTTTGTTTCTGTTTTTCTAACCATAAGAAAAGTCAGATGAGTAATTCCTCAGTATTAAAAATCAACTATTGCTGTTTAGTAGGTACACTGTATAAATTAGTTGGGATCTCACTCATTTTTTAGTATATTCTCAGAAATATTCATCCAAGTAATAGCTGTATAAAATTTATGTACATTTTTACAATGGTTTTATTGATTAAACTCATTGTTTTGTTGTTTGCGTGTTAATGTTTTTAGAATCACCGACTGAGTGATTGCTGCAATTTAATCGGCGTATTTAATCATAAATTATATGTCAATATTTTTCTTACAGTTTTTCCTCGTTCATTCTATCAGATTTTTTTGGCTCCTCTCTGCACTAAATAGTCCTTTGTTTACACGCAGTTCCCCCTTCTCTGCGGAAGGAGGCATTTGGTGGTGCGGTGTGTGACTCCTACCAGCTGTTTCCCGCCTTGAAAGCAATCCGATCAGCTGCACACACACCAACACACACTCACACAGAGAGAGACACGGTCATGCAGAGGGAGAAAGCAAAGGGGAGGGAGAAGGAGAGGTAGAGCGCCACACACAACGAGGGAACCCCATCAGCTGGAAGTCGAGTAACATTACAACTCTCGGTAGCCTCAAAAAGAACTACAATACACGGACGAGGGATTCGGATTTACTTTGAGGATTTAACCCGCCTCGGATCACGGGATTTTTGTCATCTGTTTCCCTTTAAAATAAAGGAGACTGCCGTTTTGTTTTTCATTTTATTTTATTTTATTATTTTGGAGAGGGGGGCCAAACTGGCGAGAGGCGAGCATGGAGTATTTCATGGTTTCAGCTCAGAAGGTGCCCCCGCTGCAACATTTCAGGAAAACGGAGAAAGAAGTGATTGGTGGTCTCTGTAGGTGTGTATATAAATCACATGTGCTCCATTCAGCATGATTATAACTGTAAGAACTGTCCACGCACTGAGGCAACATGTTTGATCTGATCTGTTATTGTGTACACGACCCGCTTACGGGGGAACTGCGGGCACTAATTAACACCAAACACCGGCGTTACACTGCAAATGAGCGGCTAGGTGTCTCATGCTGCCAGTGCAATATCTCCTGTTTTGTATTTTGCTCATTTAGTATAGAAATTCACGTATTTTGTGTCTAACAAACATAAACCACGTGGTTCCGTGCACACCACGCTGCTACTCCGCTCCAGAGCACATCCCACATCTATTTATCCTCAAATAATCTCTTATATAGGCGCTGTAATTTGCATACGACAATGAAATGTTTTGCTACCGATTACTGTGGTCCTTTAAAGGGCCAGTTTTCGCTCCACACACTACTGGAAGGAGCTGGTTTGCTGAAAGGGAGCCGAAGTTATTGTGGGTAGTGCGGCCATGCTTGTGGCTTGAGCTAAAAGTGATGAAGGGGGGGTCTGGTGTTAGTCTCGCGTTGTATGTTCTTCTAACCGTTTTCTGTTGATGTAAAATATGAACAGCTGTCTTCATATTTGCCTTTATTTTGAGTTGCGATAAAATATATTTTGAGTTGCGATAAAATAATTGGGGTTTCTGTGCGGCTTGCTGGCGCTATCGAGCCACCTCCACTGCGTCTTTTCATCCCGCACCTCTGCCATGCTGCCTGCCGCATTGTTGTAATGGCGGAGGACATGAAAAGTCTGCTCCGAGCACCGAGGTGCTGTCGGGCTCTGTGGTGACGACTGGCTCTTCTTTCAGCGGTTACAATTATTTTTAATACATTTCAAATAACGGGATATTTGGTGTTCGAGGGGAGGCAGGAATATTAAAAGTTGAGTTATTAATAAGGGGGTGTGTATGTCACGGAAGGCCCGTCGATACGTCCGCAGCCCTGCTAGTTGAAGGAGGCGGAGGAATCTTGTGCTGCTTGCTGCTGCGACTGCTGCTGGTGGCGCAAGGGTACTCTGGGAAATGTAGTCTTATTTCTGTTTGTCCCAAATCATCCAACAGTCAGATGCTGTTTGATTAACAAGGATAAAATAAACAAGATAGCATAATAAATGTTATGCTGATATAAAAATAAACATATTTTAGTCTCATAAGCCTATTTATGTTTATGATTGAGATTTTCAAATATGTGGTCTATTTTTCAATGCCAGACTTGGAGCTCTTTTGTCTTCGCATTTTGTTGTGAATTGTCAATTGTTTATCATTGTTGTAAGAATACAAAATATAGCCCAAAACCTTTCAGTTTTTCCCCAAGACAATTAGGAAGAAAATGTACATTTATTAATTTAGGGGAATGCACTGAGACTTTGTATCTGAACACCAGTTTCTCTAAAGAACCATGTGATGACCAGCTGATAAAGATTTATTGTCTGAATAGCTTTAAACCACAATATAATTAAATACAGATGAGTCTGTTTACTTGTGCTTGTCCTTTTCTGCATTGGGTTCTAGCGATGCATCGATCAGTCACCCAGAGATCTGAATCAGCTGGTTTTCCCTTTACTGATTCTGATTATTGATCCATAGGACAAACAAGGAAAATATATATTTTTTTATATTTTTGTCCTAGTCCTGCCAACTCACATTCATTTTGTACAGAATGTACGTTTCGCATTGTATTTTTTAGGTTTAAAACATGGTAAAGGCTAAGGAGATACTATTTCCTACATGATTGTTTTTTTTTTTTTATGTAAGATTGATATTTTTCAGAAAAGGCCTGATTGATGCAGTATTACGTGTGCAATGCAAGATAGACTGACTGCGCCACCAGGTTAAGATGACCCTGGCTCTGCAAATGAAAGAATAACTGAACAGTAAAATGAATGGGAGTCATAGAATATTGTATCTCTGGACTGGCGTAAGATTTTTAATTTCTAAATCTACCACTCATCTGTTTGCAGTCTATTATTTATTACATCAACAAGTCAGTCATTACAGCCTTATTTGCGTACTTTGTCTTGCTTCCCTTTAAAAAAAAAACACTTTAATACAGCCTGGTAATATTCTACTGTTTAGGGAAGGCAAAAGCCCGGTTGTATTGGCAGTGCTGCAGTGATGCTTTGTGTCTGTGTGTATCTCCACACTTAACACACACAACGCGCATGCACTTTTTTTTTTTTTTTCCCTCATCTGTGTCTGCACAACAGTTCCCAGTGTTTGCACTGAGGCAGCTGAGTCAGTACAGATAAGAGCCTGGCAGGAGATACAGAGGTGGAAGCAGAGGATGTTGCAGGAAGCGCTCTTAGAATTTCCCCTGAATTAAATCCCAGCACCTGGCTTACGAAGGCTCATTTCGACTATTTTAAAGTATGAACCTATTAAGGTTGTAGTGGTTAGAGGCAAACACTGCTTGTGTGCCACTTGCAGAACCAAATATCGGTTTAATTTTTGTTCAAGTAATTAATTACTGCTTTTAATGCAAGGCTGCACAATCTACAATGCATTTCAAATGGAAATACTTTTTTACACTAGTCATGCCATTGGCAGGAAAAAATAAGGTAACAAAATTAACAAAACTGCAACTAATAAATGCTTCATAATAAATGTGTAGTTGCCGTATGCGTCAAATGTTTCTGCTGAAGTTAAGCGGATCCTGACTCCCAGCTGAAGGCTTCCTCTGTGCTCCAAATTTATTATCAACTAACGGATTTGCTTCCCTCCTTGTTTTGTTTCCCCCTCAGCCTGGCCAACATTCCTCTGACCCCAGAAACAGCCCGGGACCAAGAGAGGCGAATTCGCAGGGAGATTGCCAACAGCAACGAGCGTCGGCGTATGCAGAGCATCAATGCTGGATTCCAGTCACTTAAAACACTCATCCCACACAGCGATGGGGAGAAGCTCAGCAAGGTGGGTCACAAACTGTGGGCTTGAATTAGATCAGGCGATGAGCTTGATCCAACGTGCTTTGAAGCAGAAGCATTTATTCTGCTTCAGCTTTTTCAGATTTTGGATGCTAGACCAACACATGGAGGTCTGTCTTAATTGTAGAATGGAAAGAAAACGATTCTTGCTTGTAGAACAATTTTTTTTTTTCTAACAAAAATCTCTTGTGCTTTTCTTAGTTAGTTCCTTTTACTCTGTCACCACTAAATACAATCTAGTGCAGTCAAACGCCTTTAAAAGTTAATAAATGCACTTAACAGCAGACATGTAATAAGAAACTTCTCTGTCGGTAAATTCAATTTCTGGCTTTACATACAAGACGCTACTTATAGCGGAAAAACTTTGCTTTAAAGATCAGCCTGAATACCCCAACATGGTGTTGGCCGTATTATGTTGTGGGAATCTTTTTCTTGAGCAACGACAAGTGAGACTTGAGGTTAAGGGAAAGTTCGCCTTCCAGCAGGAAAAGCCCACAACCGGAGATATGATGTAATGGCTAAGACTTAAAAATCTAATCGAGATTTAAGTCTTGGCCACAAATCTAATTTGTGGCAAAACTTGAAAGTGGCATCGTGAAAAAGGAATATCGGTACTTTTGAAGTGGCTGTTGCTGTACGGGTCTGAACTCGCTGTTACAACCTCACTTTGATGTTCTTCAGGCTGCAATCTTGCAACAGACGGCAGAGTACATCTTCACTTTGGAGCAGGAGAAGACGCGGCTATTGCAGCAAAACAGCCAGCTGAAGCGGATCATTCAGGTACAGGTACAGCAAACTGCATAAATATTCCCGTACGTTTCTTCGGTTTTAGCAGTCATCTGAACCAGACAGCTCAACCTGTGTTTGTTTTCCGTTTCTCCCAGGAGTTAAGCGGCTCGTCCCCGAAGAGGAGACGGGCGGAGGAGAAAGATGAAGGGATCGGATCTCCAGACATCCTGGAGGAGGAGAAGACTGAGGATCTGAGGAGGGAGATGATTGAGCTGAGGCAGCAGCTGGAAAAGGAGCGCACAGTCAGGATGATGCTGGAGGATCAGGTGACGGTCGGGTGGGAATGAACACACAGCTGTTTTAAGTGCGCGACTGACGCACCTTTCTCCCGAATTGTGTCCCGCCTGGCAGATGCGCTCCCTGGACGCTCAGCTGTACCCAGAGAAGCTGAAGGCGATCGCCCAGCAGGTCCAGGAACAACAAGTCCAGACGCAGAGTCTTGTTCGCCTGCAGAAGCAGCTAGAGAGGGACCTCACTCCAGCACACAGCCCTCAGGTTCAACACCAACGTTTTATAAAAAAAAATAAATAAATAAATTCAGCTTGTTTTATGACTAAATTTAGCTTTTAGGAGGTGCTTTACTTTATCATCACAAAATATTTCTTCAATATGTGTCAGCATCTTTGTTGTGATAAAAGACTCGGAATAATTTTGACTGTCGCATATGAAGAAGCGCTGCAAAAGAAATTTTCCCCCCTTGAACTTTCTCACATGTTTAGGATATGCACGCAATATTTTGCGGTGCAATTGTGGTGACGCTAAAAATTATGATTAACAAACGTTTTGCATTACTGTGAATGCATGACACAGCGTTTGTAACCTCACACACAAATACTGTTCTAGAAAAATATTCTCAGTAGAATTGGTAGAATTAGAAGTGTGATTTATGTCACTAAGATGCACACAGTATCTGTATTTAGTCATGTCTTCCATTTCACTGATATTTATTGATGTCAAATAAATTTTAACATCAATTTGTTTAACTAAAATAGTACAAATAACATGTCCGCTAGTACTGTCAGTTTTGTTTTTTAACATCATGCCTGTCATAAAACAGTTTTCCACAATAAATTGTACAATAAATGCCGACTCCTGATTTGATGTCATAGACAAGTACAAATGATTCTGCATAGTGTAGAGTGCATTTGTATTTATTTAGCCCCTCATGGAACCATCATTTGCTGTAGTTACAGCTGCAAATTTTGGCGGGTATGACTGGTTCAGTATTTCATATCCAGTGATTAAGATTTTTGCGCTTCCAACTTTTCAGATTGAATAGATTAAGTTTTCAAGTCTCACCAATATGAAAAATGATCAACATCGATTGATATGAAATGCTTTTATTGAGATAAATGTTTCATATCATCCAGCCCTAACCTTGGCCATATGAGCGTATAGGTATTAATCTACATTAATGCATTGTTGCTCTGGCTGGATGTGTAGAGTCGTTGTCCTGCTGGAAGGTGTCTCTGGTCTCTTCTCAACAATCTTCCTGACCTATAAGTTGTGTTTCCTCTTCCTTTTGTTCTCTAACAAACCACTGGGGGATTCACCGAACAGCTATATTTACACTGGGATTAAATTACACAGGTTTTACTTGCTGGGTGACTTTTGAAGGCAGTTGATTGCCTGGATTTTATTTCGGGCCAGCAGCATCAAGGGGGATAAACACAAAAATTCACCTCGTAGTTTGTCGATTTCCATTGCCTTGTGTGATAGAAACGATGTTTGATTCAATTATTTGTTAGGGACCTCAGGAATATTTTTTTGTATACTACGTTGTTTGGGATCATTAGAGTGATGTGTAAATATCGTTCTTTCAGGTGTTGGCTCCTGCTACCCCGCCCGCACCCACACACCATGCCACGGTCATCGTTCCTGCGCCCGCACAAACTCCCCAGCCCCATCATGTCACCGTGGTAACCATGGGCCCAACATCGGTTATTAATTCCGTGTCCACATCTCGGCAGAACCTGGACACCATTGTTCAGGTAAGCCTCCCTTAAAACTCAAATTATCTTTCCTTCGCATGACTCCTGCTGTCTTTTTAAAAAATATATATATATATTTTCTCCCTCACCACATCCGACCACTAGAGGGCGCCTTAGTCTCTGACATGCCTCCTCTATTCTTCCCCGTTTACCTCCAGGCAATCCAGCACATTGAGGGCACCCAGGGGAAGGGTTTCGAGGAGGAGCAGAGGAGGGCGGTCATCGTCAGCTCGGGGCGCATCCTCTCCGACGCTGCGGGCTCGGACACGGCCTCCAACAGCGACGGACCCGACGACTGCTCGCTGCCTTGAGCTCGCCTGCCTGAAGGCTCGTGTACCCTACACCTTCATACACGCACACACTCACACACAGAAGGGCCCCAAAGAAGACCAGGGCTATGGGAGACTACAAACTCACAGCACTCTTGTTCTGTGGACCTAAACCAGGCTGGTAGTCGGATTATAGCACTCGTTTTGACGTACTTCCCCCGAACCCCCATCTTCTTCTCTTCATCAGATTTGACAAAAATAGGTACCTGAGACGGTTTACAATTACACATTCACACCCGTAGTTTCTCTCTTTTTTTGTTTTTCTTTTTTTTTTTTTTTT